GATTATTTTTATTATGAATCATTGATTGTTAAGGGCGTGGATTAAAAAAAAAAACAACGTGTAAATCTATATACTTGTTTCCTAAAAAATACTTTGTAATTACATACATTTATTTTATATTTCGAGTGAAATATTTACATTTATAAAGACTATATAACAAACTTGGGACGGCGTGGACATGCGGCAGAGAGAGAGAGAGAGCTAGACTGCTAATCCGAGAGTCTCGAGTAAATCCGGATTCAAATCAGTGGAAAGTCACTGAGCCCAACCATCTCTGCTGGGTAGGCCTAACTAACTCACGTTAGGGAAATAAAGGCGGTAGGCATAGTGCTAACAACACTATCCCTTCATATGCCTAGGTCTCTGAAGCAGATTAACTCTACTTCATCAGCCCCATGTGGGCATGAATGGGAAATGATGATCATATAACCAACATTAATGTGTATTGTATTTTTCTTGCTGATTTTATTTCAATTTAATTTATTTATGAGCAGCTAAGGTTTATATGAAATACAAAATCGCTGCCAACTGAACAGATTACATTTTTTTTAAAAAAAAGGATAACTCTTCATTCAACTTATATTTTAAAATATTATCCAGTTGTCTCCCTTGCTGAGATTACTCGCCTTGCACTAACATTACCAGAGCATGACGAGTGGCTTCCCTTGGCGGTGGCGGTCGAACGTTCTTTAAGGTCTACCTGAGACCTTGAGTTGGTCACGGGCTGGACTGGGGGGGGGGGGGGGGGGGGCGGGGCGAGGAAACACTGACCTGGGATCAGGGCGAGCCCTGGGTCAGCGTGACCCAGCGGGCTGGCGTGCAGTATGGAATGTTGTAACACGCGGTGCAGGGGCATGGTGTGGTCATTACGTGCGGTTGTGGGTGTGGGGTAAAGGGGGGGGGGGGGGGGTGAGATAGGAAGGTGTACTATGAAACGACTTACAGTTTTTTAAAGAAAAATTTCAGCATCAGATAAAACGTTTAGTCTTTTATACAATAAGTTATACCATTCTTACATACTTGCGAAATACATGGAAATTATATATATATATATATATATATATATATATATATATATATATATATATATATATATATATATATATATATATAGGATAATCAATAAGCGATTATATTATGATATAATTTTTCTTTTCATTGGCAGTTTATTCCGGTATTACAAAAGGGCTTATATCTGTTTAAGGATTAGATATTGGCCTGCTAAGTTCCTGTATACATATTCAGATTATCTCAACTTTTGTATAACCTAAATAAAGCTAACTCTTAACGTCTCGTGTTTATTTGTAAATTGCATTTATAAAAAAAACTGCTTATATGACAATATTTTAACAGTGCTTTTAATTCACAAAACTCGTAAAAAAAATCATCCCCAAAAAATCAAATAAATGCATGTTACCTTAACTTTCATAAAAATATGATTTTAATTCAATTAAATATATATAGAAACCCATGTATCTGTTACATGTCTTTAAATATAGATGCACCGTATATTGTAGGTAGTGTATGTAATAAAAATATATGTTGGGTTTTCGTATTTACTTTATAATATTTGCCTGACGTTACAGACGGACGGACATAACTTAAGTGCTGACTCTTCGCGGGCAAGTCCATTTCACTCCCCCCCCCTTCCCCACCTCTCCATGCACAAGCAAAAACCGACTGTCCAATGGCCAGTGCAGTCCATTCACGGCCCGCGCAGTTTTCTCGGCCAGTGCATTGTGGTCCCCCCAAAACTGACCACAGCTCCAGATCTGCCCAACACACACACCACACACGGACGCAGTCGGCTTGACCGCAGGTTGTGCACAACTTTAGTCGACCTACCAAGTCACCACAACTCATCGGTCAACGCCATCTCAACCTCCACGTCTTCAACAAGATTCTTATCCAAGGATTTTAAAAAACCTACCATGTTTCCATAACCGTTTTTTGGTTTTGAAAACTATTGGAATATAAAGTGCCTTAAAATTAAAATATAAATATTTTTTTCGAAATATTGTGTTTTATAACAAACTTTAAGAAACGCTCTAAAGAATCAGACAACGTAGAATGATTTCCGTTGCATCCTGTTGCAAAGATAATTGCTTAAATTTCACACTTCACCCATAATGTTGTGGAGGAATATTAAAGACTGATCACGTGATAACCGTTGGATCTCTTTAACTTTGGGAACATCAAGATTTTAAATTTGTGGTGATACAACCAGATTTTCGGTGTTTCGCTAAAGCTTCTTCATTAGCCCAAGACAAAAGTAAGTACAGGCTGGATACATTCATAAATGTAATCATTACATTGTAATGAGTTGAAGTTCGAATCTCTTGAAAATGTAATCCGTTTAAGTTAAAATATCTTTAAAATGTAATGAGTATAAGTTTGAATCTTGTTGAACTGTTATGAGTAAACTTTTAGATCCTCTTAAAATGTTATGAATACTTGTTTAAAGGGGTTTAAAAATGTTAAATTTATATTGCATGTGCTTTTATAAAGCCGCATCATTAACTTAGCTTTCAAAAGAAAGTAACATTTAAATTTTTTAATCCAATTCGCACTTACACACACACGCACATGCATACACACAAACACACATACACACACATACAACTTTTTTCAATAAACCTAGTTGGTTATTATTTATTATTTCCTCATGACACTATAACATAAGCCGGTCACCTATAATTTAATTTCTTAGAATGAAGTCAATTAACAGTATTGTTTTGCTGTAAATTAATGTAAACTAAAGTTTTACCAAAATGTCAAAGAAATGAAAAGGTTCAAATATCTTTTAAGTTAATGTTTCAAAGACTTTTTTCTGAAAATATGCATTTACAGTATAACAGAATTCTGCGTTCTAAAATCACCAGCTTTATTAAATAACCTTCGTTGGCCATTCTCACTGTATAGTCAACTCAATCCTATTGAAGTTTTAAAAACGCGAAAATCCTCATTTATAACCGTGAACACTTTTTTCGCGATAAAATATTAATTTGAAACGCATGTATATTTTCGCCGCGAACCTTAATCTAAGCCTAGTCTGTCACCCTCTGCATCACCTACGGCATGCATGAATCTAATTTACATTGCAATCAGCGAAATTAGCATAATGAAATGAGCTACACTGAACCCATTTAAATAAGATAAAGTAAGGGTCAAAGGGTAAGATGGCCATGGGCCTGGGGCATGCCGTACTGAAATGTTACAGACGTATTATTGTAATAATCTAACGAGGATTAGTAACTTGTTAATCTTATAATCTAGCGGAATATAAAATAGCTGAACTTTACAGCAACAACTACGGCTATGTTTAAAATAAAAAATCAACAGTTTATTTAGGCGTGTGATACGAACTCTTCAGATCAGCGGTCTATATTAAAGAATAATGTATGAATATCAACATTACGATGCATAATGGTAGAGTTAACACTTTGATATTCTTTTTATTTCAAAATCATTCTTGCTATGGATTGTGCTAAACAACTGAATGCTAAGATAGGGGGCGGTCTACGAAATGGTGCGGCAAAGAGAGGCAACAATTATATTTGTTATTCAGCAAAGCAGTGCTTCTTCCAGACTTTTTCTCCGGGGGGGGGGGGGGGGCACTTCAGCAATTTTTTTTGGGGGGGGGGGGGGGGCAGACTCTGCTAAAAGTATATATTTTCTATATAAATTCTATTTCGTTCCCCCCCCCCCCCCCCCCCCCCCCCGAAGAGATGCATCGAAGAAACTCTGCAGCAAACTTCTGTGGTACTACTCTTTAGCATAACCAAAGCCACCCAGATCTCCGTTTATGTATCGTCCGCACCCCTCCCCCAACGTTGTACTAGCCCCACCCCTCAGCACCACCTCACCCCCCCTCTGCCCTTGACGATCACGCCACTCCCCGCCACAGACTAAAGCCCCCCCCCCCCCCCCCCCCCCCCCCGCGCCGACTTGCAAGATTTCATCACTCCACCAACCAGACCTGTCCCACCTCCCCTCCACACCTCCCTCCCCGCGGTAACCAACCCTAACGGTTTTATCTTTCCTGTGGTCTGCTAGTAAATGACCTTGAAGCTGACCTTTGAAACGTGTAACCTAGCCTCGCCGAAAAAAAAAAATTGTCTTACGCTTCGCTTACTTTGTGGGAGTTGGGCGACTCGACCGAGACTAGTTGGCGAAAAAATCGTCATAAGCACTTACCATATCTACGATCTCACCTCAATTTTCGGACACAACTGTAAAGATAATGGTCAGCCAATGTCCATTAGCGCCGTCTATTCGGCGGGCGTAGATTTGATCGGCCGGAGATAGTCAAAAATAGCCGGCCGTTCGCAAACGGTCAAAACTTACATCGCGAAACGTACACCGTAAGCATTGGCAGGCTTGTGTTATAATGTTTTAAGATTTCTCATGTCTATTGTACAGGCGTATTTGCTGTACATATAGTGTCTAGATGTAAAGGCGCAATGGTTTTGGTTTACAATAGCAAACAATACCGCTTTACAGCTGTTGGTAAAGAATCGTAGGATTGAATCTTAAGAAGTCGCTACACTCGAAATACATTCCTTAGAATTGTATTTAGAATATATGGGGAATATATATATATATATATATATATATATATATATATATATATATATATATATATATATATATATATATATATATATATATATATATATATTTATATATATACTTTTAAAGTTTTGTTTGCCTGAAGATTTTTATATTAATTAGGCTACTTATTGAAAAAGATGTTGTTTACTTATGAATTTTTCAGCCTGGATACCTTGATGAATTTCAAATAATTATAACTGTTTAAATTTAGACGGCATGAGATAATAGTCTGGTTTTGGGAAGCGGTACATTTATCTGTAATGCTACGCCAGTGTTAAATCTTCTCAAACTAACACTGTAATTCCCTATTTGTTCAAATATATTATATATAAAGTTCTCTGTATAACTTATTGTTTAATTTCTATCTGACAGGACCCTCAATGACAATGTCGGACGGAGTCCTAGACCTGAGCGTGTCCTCCTATGGCGTGGCGGCCAAACGCACCCTCCAGCCCTTCGAGCACTTCAGCAGTGACTCGGGACGTGCGTCCTCAGACAGTACGTCATCCGAGACCCACGAGGACGTCAAGCCCCGCATCAGGGCGTCACCACTCACTATGGCCGCGCCATCGCCGGTGAACCCCCCGTACGACACGTCGAGCTACGCCACCGGACCTGTGGCATTCCCTACCTCACATTTACGAGATCTACCCCACATGGCGCACATGCTACGTCCTGCGTCTTCTTCAGCCAGCCCGCCCCACCCGGCTAATCCAGTTACCATGGCGGCCATGTCTAGCTTAAACTCTAACCCAAACTCCCCAAATCAAGCAACCTCTCTCATGAGCGATGATCCTAGTAAACAAACACTCACAGACAGAACCGCGGACTCCCGTCTAGCAGCGATGAGACAATTCAAAATGTTCCCAATGGACCCCTTCAACATGTACAACAACCCCTTAATGTCGACCCCCGCCGGGACTCTATCCCCGACCCCTGCGGCTCTCCAATCCCTCTACGACACCGTCTCCCCCTCAGGATTCCCCAACTACCCCCTCACGCCCTTGACCTCTCACCTTCTACAACGGAAACGACGCAACGACAACCGCGACAACCCCGGCTCATCCAGCACAACCCCCTCCAAACCCCCCAGCACCGCGATGGCTGACGGGAACGGAAGTTCGGGGGTCAGCACGTCCAGTCCTCAATCTCCCAGAGACGAAGATTCCAATGGTAGCGACGGCGAGAAGAGGAAAAAATCCGGATCCTCTATAGATGTAAAGAAAGACGAGGCGTATTGGGACAGAAGGAGAAAAAATAACGAGGCGGCGAAGAGGTCTAGAGACGCCAGACGACAGAAGGAGGAGGAGATTGCCATGAGGGCGGCGTTTCTGGAACAGGAAAACCTGAAACTACGAGCCCAAGTCGCCATATTAAAAAACGAGACAGCGAAACTACATTATATGTTATACAACAGACTTTAGACTGACTTTGTAGTTTTGAAATGACATTTTAGAAAAAAAGGTTTACAATATATCTTGATAAATTGCAAGATTAATATATAATCGGCTTAATTTTTGTTTTAAACTCGAATATATTCGAGGTAATAGGCTTATATAAAGTGGGAAAATATATATCTAAAAATATTAGTAACGGTTTGAGGGAATGTGCAGGTTCGTGTTATTTGAACGTCCCGGAGTCCACCCAGTTATAATGGGTACCTGACCCATGTTAGGGAAAGTAAGTAAGGGCTGGCCATAGTGCTGACCATACTATCCCTTATTATTCAGATGTCACTAAAATATGTGAACTCTGCTTCAACGGTCCCATGGACCTTCAGGTTCGATATGGTACTTTTTTAAAATTAAATAAAAGCATAAAATAATAGACAGATGAACTAGTGCCATGACTGAAATCTACCTACTTTCCCACTGATGTAACAGGAAGTAAACAATAGCCATCCAACTGATGTCTACTGCATCAAAGTTTACCACCATTTTATGGGGTTAAAATGTCATATTTGTATTGCGATATTTAAAATACTAAGTTCAAAAATGGGATTTATATCTCTTAGTTTATGCTTGATCTTATACCATCTCATAAACTATTTTTATATAATTTGTACATCGAAATTTTTTATAAAACATAGCCCTATCTGACAGGGTTATTGTTCTTACTTATAAAACTGCTGAATCAGCTGATTTTTATATACCTCATCTTCAAGGAAGTTTTTTTTTATCTTGACATGCTACGGGTATTTTATTGTTTATTCTATGGTAACATTTTACTTACCATACCGTAATTTTTATCAAGCGATGTTTTTACTTGACTATACAATTATATCGATCTTTAAAAATCAATACATTAAAATATTATTGTACGTAATTATAACTTCTCAGGACTTGGCCTATTGATTTTATTGGGTATCGATTTTTGCTGGCTTTAAATGAATCACCTACGTGCCACTGCATAAAATATTGATGTTCTTGTAAACCGCATGCATTTTATTTTTATACGTTATTTACATTAATAATTTAGCATATGATAATTGTTTAATTAAATATCTGAATGTTAATTACCTCGTCCACGACAAATAGTTTTATTGTTGACTGAAAATATCTAGGTACATTATAGCGCTACATTAAAACTCTATGTAACTTCTGTATTTTTTTAACTGAAAGAAAACTCCATATGATAATTGTTTAATTAAATATCTGAATGTTAATTACCTCGTCCACGACACATAGTTTTATTGTTGACTGAAAATATCTAGGTACATTATAGCGCTACATTAAAACTCTATGTAACTTCTGCATTTTTTTAACTGAAAGAAAACTCCATATGATAATTGTTTAATTAAATATCTGAATGTTAATTACCTCGTCCACGACACATAGTTTTATTGTTGACTGAAAATATCTAGGTACATTATAGCGCTACATTAAAACTCTATGTAACTTCTGTATTTTTTTAACTGAAAGAAAACTATGTTCTAAATCTTAAAGCAAAATCATTATTTGCAGATTTTTTATAAAAATAAATCTAATTTTTTTTTGCACTGAACATTAACCATAAAACTGTTATTCATTAACCTTATTTTTAGTTATAACATTAATTGTTGAGGATTTATGTCCTAAATTAAATTGTTGAATGGGAAGTCATTAATTAAAATGCATGTTAAGTCATAATTAAAGTGTTGATTGTTAAGTCATAAATTACATAATTAAACCCTGTGACACTATAATCAAGTCAAAAATCTGGACTTGACTTCAGTCAAACTTTGTACCTGTGAACTTTGTTTATTTTTTTCTTTACAGCAATATGTTATTCTTATGTTATTTTTATGTTATTCTTATGTTATGTTAATGTTATTCATATGTTGCATAATATTCAATGAATTGTATTAAGTTATTTGTGTTATTTTTAAATTGATATCTTCTAAACTGTCTATGATACAAAAGGAATGATACAAAAGGAACCTAGCTTTGGGATAATTGTTTCTTGTTTTTTTAAGTCGATGTATTTCAATTAACACGTCTTTAATTCTTAATCTTACTTGTATTTGACAACTCAAGCTTGTAGTATACTTAATCGGTTTAAAAATATATATTTACCTTTTTTCTTTACTGTTATTTTTCTTCATAAGTATATTTGCTAATCTGATTTTTTATGTGAAATATTGTTACGGTTGTGTTCATTTTCACGTATTACAAATGTTATTATCTGTTAATTTATTCATGTTATTTGTGTTTGTACATATTTTGGTTATTTTTTTTTTCATTGCTTAAATCTTACCTGATTAATTTTAACTATGACTGAACCGATATTGAAAAATAAAAATAAAAAAAAACACTAAATTTCATCTTGTTTTTTTTTTAATTTCATGGTATGATGTCATACATTTTAAGCTAGTAACTTTTCTTAGTAAATAAAAAAGATATGGATTGGTTAAAAGATTGAGAAATGAATATACGAGGAATTGGGGCTACTTCACTTTCTTCCACTTAGGTGAGTTAATCCATGTCTGAACCCCAATCAGCCGTAGATATCTATCTGGATAATCTGAACACTTTAGCTAAACTATTTTTTATACTCGTGTATTCAGCGACAAGACAAATCTTTTAGAAGATCACTTTACAACGAATTACTACATGCTTAACTAAACATGTCACAAATTACACTCATACAGGCTTATTGCTATAGTCTTGATTAAGTAGCGATATTATTTAATCAGGTTAATTACTCGGACTTACTCTGATGATTAACACATTCATAATCATTACGTAACGACATTTCGCGGAAGAGTGGCGTAAATTCGGTTGGGTTTTTATGAGTAAATCAGGTCGGTGTAAATTGCGAACTGCGAAGTTTCGTGAACAATGTATCTATCTGTTCAGTGGTCATTAGAGAACAAGGTTTGTCTCCCTTAATTTCGTTTATCGCCCCTTGTAACTGACGTAATCAAAGCGTTCACGCATGCGTGTCAACCACGCCGGTGAGTTCACGCTCACTGCACGCGAGCTTTGAAGGTCTGGCGTCACAGAGATAGGTCAACCAATAAATCGTGCTGGTGATGTCACATGATCTAAGACAGCGAATCACTGTTGTGAACTGTCTATCCTTTTGAAGTTTGATGTTTGCCATTAACATCCTAGTATTAGACTTTAAAACCAGGTGGCCAAATGATTCACACATCTTAGGGACACACCTAGCTGCGTAACTAATTACCGCATTTTATGGCAAAGTGTGTAACATTGTTGATTGTCAGCAGTTTCTACTGGCATTTCTCAAGGTGAGGTTATGGTGGGGGGGGGGGGGGGGGGGGCGAGGGTAAACGGAAAAAAAGTCACAGGAAAAAAAAACACAGAAAAAAAAGTCACAGTTTTTGCTAGGAAAAAAAGTCACAGAAAAAAAGTCACAGTGGAAAAATTTTATCGGAAAAAAAGTCACAGAAATAAAGTCACAGAAAAAAAGTCACAAAAATCTTTTTAGAAATCTTTTTATTAATTTGATAAAAATTGTAAAATTTTGTATGTTTATTGTTGTGGGTTGTATTTTTTGATAGCATACATTATTTATAGACGTTACAAACATTATGATTTATAACAATTGTAAGTAAAAAAAACTCTAAGATAATAAACACAACAATCTCAACATTTGTTACGTATTTAGATAAATACGCGGTAGAAAAGTTAATTATAAAAGAAATTTAGGCACATTTTGCCGTAGGCTATTCTCTGGTCGGCCTCTCCTCAGTAGGCATTGTCCGAACATATTTTGTGGTGTTGACGTTATGCGTCATCGACAGCCTTTGAGCCTTGTCGGCTTTCTGTTTTGATCCTAAGTTTTGTTATGTAATGAGCGTGATAAATGTGGGCAGTAAAGGTGGTTGAACTAATCATAACTATTGTTGCCATGAGTTGAGGGCAGCAAGTCAGATGAACTTACCATTTCACGGTAATTTAATATTGGTATTTAAAAAAAACACGATGAAAAACGTGGACTCTATTAAATGCTACTAATCTTAAGTTTAAAATAATTACAATCTACATACTTCATAATAAATATATTTAGATGAATTATAAAAATTCCTATGCGTATACAGCCTACACACATTACATTACATTTAATTAATCCTAAGTTAATTTGCACTCTCTAAATATTTAATACATAAAAGGATAAACAAATATCATGCAAATATATATTTGTGACTTTTTTTCCTGTGACTTTTTTTCCTGTGACTTTTTTTCCTGTGACTTTTTTTCTGTGTTTTTTTTTCCTGTGTTTTTTTTTCCTGTGACTTTTTTTCCTACAATCGGGGCGAGACAGTGCTCACAAAAAACACTGTCCTGGACTAAAATAGAAAATAAATCTAATTTATGTAGAAAATATACACTTTAATCAATGTTCACCCCCTCGGAAATTTTCAGTGCGCCCGTCCCGGAAGTTTCATGTAAGTATTGAGTATAAAACTGGAATAATCAGCAGCTCTATTGAGATTTAGGTTATTGGAGGAATACAACGCGAAAATATGTAGATTCTACTACCAAAAGAAAACACACATAAGAGACCTACGCAAATATAGTACTATTCGAAATAAAATGTGTTATTTAAACTAGTGACTTTAAATAAAATAAAAACAACAACCTTTAATGACGCTATATATTTTTTTTTTAGTTTATAAATCTGACCAGCATTAATATTTTTAAAATTTCAAGCCAATCGAAGAATCAAATATTCTAATAAATTGGCTAAAGAGATTAAAACATTTAAAACAAAAAACATGTCAGAAATGTATGTTTTTGGGGATATTTACTTAAGAAATTAATTTGGAGTCCCGAAAGACAATCAGAAAAACAAAAACACTTTAGCCTCTTCAAGAGGAGGTTTGATCCCATTATATTTTCGGAAAATTAAAAATATATGTCGCTTTAAACAAACGCCAACATTTTTAGAAAGATGTACATAATGCTTTAACCCTATA